TAGAATAGAATATAGTCTAGCTTGTTTAGTGTTCTGGGTGCACTTGAAAAAAATGTGTATTCTACTACTGGTTGGTAGAGTGTTTTTTTAATGCCACTGGGTACACCAAGTCAGTTATTAGTGTTGTTGTTCAAGTATTCAAACCTCTGACTATAACTTGTCTATCCTCACAATTCTATCAGCTTTTGCTTCATGTGTTTTGAGGGTGTGCTATCTGGTGCATAAATATTTAGAATTGTTATGTGCTTTTGATGAATTGACCCCTTTATCATAATGAAACAATATTCTTTGTCCTGGAAATATCCATTGCCCTGACATATACTTTGTCTGATATTAATATAGTCATCCCAGATTTTTTTTTATTAGTGTTAGTATGGCATCTTTTCTTATTCTTTTAGTTTTAATTCAGTTATATTTTATATTTAAAGTACATTTTTTTGTAGAGACCATAAAACTGACTGTTGCTATTTTATTGTCTCAATCTTTGCTTTTTATTTGGATGCCTAGATCATTTACATTTAATGTAATTATGGAAATAATAGGTTTAAATTTACCATTTTGTTATTTGTTTTCTATTTCTGTAAGATTTGTCTCTTCTCATATTGTTCTCTCCCACCCCTTTTTTTCTGTCTTCTCTTGGATTAATTTAATATTTTTAATGTTTATTTATTTTTGAGAGAGAGCGCAAACGGGAGAAGGGTAGAGAGGGAGACAGAACCTGAAGCAAGCTTCAGGCTCTGAGCTGCCAGCACAGAGCCCAATGCGGGGCTCAAACCCATGGACCGTGAGATCATGACCTGATCCAAAGTCGGACGCTTAACTGACTGAGCCACCCAGGTGCCCTAATTTAATATTTTTAAAGCATCCATTTTATCTCCTTTTTTTGGCATGTTAGCTATAAGTCCTTTTAATATTTTAGTCATTTCTTATGGATTTATAACATTCATCTGTAAATGTTTGAGAAAGAGGGAGGCAGAGCTGTCAACGCAGAGCCCCATGTGGGGTTTGAACCCATGAACCATGAGATCATGACCTGAGCCGAAATCAAGAATCAGACGCTCAACTGACTGACCACCCAGGCACCCCCCCATGGTGTTTGTCTTTAATATACACAGCCTAACTTAAAGTAATATTATACCATGTGTGCTACATATAGTATAAGAATCTTATAACAATTCTGGTTTCATATCTTCCCAACAAATGATCCCAATAAAATGATAACTACTCCATTTTAATATCAATTTTTCAATCCAAGAGAAGATTCTTGCTTGGGTTTCATGATTATCCCTAAACAGACAACAATGGACAGGGGCATGAATGTTTGGTTAAACCTAAGTTCCTGCAGAAGCCCTTCTAGAACTTCATAGAATGGGAAGGAGCTCACCAAAAGAACCTGAGAATGAGAATGCAAAGTGCACTAATTAGGCAGAATTAGAGCTACCATACACCACTATAGGCAAACATATCACATTGCAGATTGGCAGGTAGAGAGTTCACACACACTTGCTATAAATTCCCAATATGTTTTGCTAACAATACTGAACTTGGCCACACAAAGCAGGAGCAAATGAAGCATTTCTTTATATGACATTTTCCTTCCCCTTGTATCCCCCAGGGCACACAGCCACCAGTGACACTCTGTAAATCTGATTCCTGTCAAGCTGAAAAAGAAGCCAAATACTCCACCACCCTTTTATATTTGACTTTCATTAGCACTCTGGAAAATTTTTTACAAACAGTATAAGCACTTCTGTGTAAGGCAGTTTCTCAGCCTTGAAACTATTGACATTTTGAACCCGATAATTCTTTGTGTTAAGGGGCTGCCCTGTGTACTGCAGGATGTTTAGCAGCGTCTCTGGACTCTACCCACTATATGTCAGTAACACCTGCCTCCCCAGTTATGACGATAAAAAATTTCTCCAGATAAGGCCAAATCCCTCCCCCCCGGCCCCCCGCCGCCTCCCAGGGGAACGATATTACTCCTGGTTGAGAACCTTTGGTTTAAGAGGATGTTTGCAAACATCAGGATCTATAGTTTCTTGACCCCAAATCAGCACCAACTGTTAGGGGAAAAGCAGAATTAACATTAGGTACCATCAACCCCTCTTCCATATCCCTGCAAGCCCATCTGTCTTTAAGGGACCCTGTCTGTTGCTCCTACTGCAAAAACAGCTCTAGCACCTGGAAAAGGGCAATGCCCAACCACCACCACCATAGCCAATGTTAAAAGAAGAAGGAGTGAGTGGATGAATGGATGGATGGATGGATGGATGGATGGATGAAAATAAAAATACAAAGATTATTCACAGTGTCTCTCTGGAGGAAGGAATGACATAGCTGCATAAGAAAAGGAGATAAGGGTACCTGGGTGGCTCAGTCGGTTAAGCCTCCAACTTCTCCTCAGGTCAGATCTCTCAGTTCATGAGTTTGAGCCCCGCGTCAGGCTTAGTGCTTACAGCTGAGAGCCTGGAGCCTGTTTCAGATTCTGTGTCTCCCTCTCTCACTCTGCCATCCCTGGCTCGAGCTCTGTCTCTTTCTCTCTCAAAAATAAATATACATTTAAAATAAATTTTTTAAGAAAAGGGAATATTTTGCTGTTTCACTAAAAATGTCTATAAATTTTGTTATTTTTACTTTCATGATTTAGAAAATTTGAACTGTTTATTCCTAAACACTTGAAAGTCACATCAAGCATTTTCTCTTTGATAACTATGTCTTTAATTTTCTGGGTTTTTTTTTTAATACACATGTGGATTTTAGTTGACCTTTTGAATACTGTATCACCAAGTCCAAAGCTTGATTTCTTTTTCTTCCAACTTATGAGCAAAGAGCCATATGTGAGTTATTTGTGAATGGCATTTATGTTGGGAAGAAAATGTACCTAGCACAAAAGTAACCTGACACGTCACATTCACTTATGCGCTTTGGGCTTGAGGGCAGGGCCTGGAGTGCATGCCCCCATCACATCTCAAACCTGACAGAGCTTGGGGCCTTCCAGAATTGTATGCTGAGAAAATTGGTGACGATGACGCTTCATCAGGCATGATTCTGGTTACTCCTGTTTTACTTTGTCAAACTGAGATTTCTGGGCAGGATGAGAGGAGGGGTTGGTGAGCTAGGTGCAGGGAATAACCTCCTGAGGGAAGAACAGGTGTTTGAGCCTTTCTTCTTTAGGCAGGCAGAAGCCAGAGGGGAAAGGAACAGGGGAGGTAGTGTGGAAGGAAAAAGATCATTTGTGGGGACAACTCTTGTTTCTCTTTCTCCTCTGCCACCAGCAGAAAGCTGGGTCAAATCCTCCCTCTACAGGGAAAGCAGACACCTGTCCTGCAATAGGGAACCAGCAGCACGAAACTGTCCAATGTCCGCCCCGTGTGCCACTCCCCACTCCTGTAGAAATCTTGTCTCTCCCACTCACTCTGTCCGAGAGGGAAAGGCCCAGCCACCTGGGTCTCTTGAGATCTGGGTTCCAGGAACCAGAGGATCCTGGCTTGCAAAGCGAGGTCATTTATTTACACGACGCAAGTGATGCATGGAGATGCAGAGCAATCCATCTGCCTTAGCAACCAAACAGGTTCCCTTCAGCTCATCCTCCTGCAGAAGCGGTCAAGGCAGGGAGGTTGGGCGAGATGACCTTCCACAGCTGAATCTTTGCTTCTAAAAATAGAAGCATCTTTGGAGAATCGAGGAGGGGAGGGGAGTCTGTGGATGTTGAGGGCAAAACCCGGAGTCCCCAGAGCACTGTCAGTATGAAACTGTATTAATTAGACACAGGCGCCCAGCTCGATTACCTTAGGTATCACAGAAATGGAAACTAAATGAACTGGCTTTTCCCCCCTTTCTGGCAACTCTCCTTGGGCTATAAAAGAGAAAGAGAACCATGTCTTCTGACCTATTTGAATGGCTGCACACTGCCTGAGGAGATGTCTTCCCCAGCAGAGGGAAACAGGGGCTCCTTAGGGACACACCAAGAGAAGACAAGAGCTGAGCCAAGTGGGACCCCCGCAAAAACAGCAGTAGCGGGTCACCACCCATCTCGCCCCATGTGGAGACTACACAGGGCTCTGTCTGAGGCTGGGCAGGGCCAGACAAGTGTCCGAGTATGTCCATGGCTGTGGAGGGCATGCATGGGGTCACGGGGTGGCACTCGCAGCCTTCTGCAGGGTCCTTGTCCGGAGCCACATAGTAGGGGTGATGTGTTTCAGGATCCAGCGGAGCCGCTTGTTGGTCTGCACATGTACTGCGTGACCAGGTTGTGCACAGTACTCTGCTGGGTGGAGGGTTGTCGGCTGAGTGTATATGTGTGCACACACATGCCCCTGTGTGTGTTTTGGGATGGGGGTGGTTGCAGGAGTGTGTGGAAGTATGGCAGCGATCCTGAGAGGACTGGGTAGGGGGAGTGTGTAGGGCTGGAGGAGGCATACGGATGATGGCTATTTGGAGGACTTTGTGCACTCATGGGGCCTATGAGGAAGACTATGGGGGAAGGTCTATAGGAAACAGGGAGAGGTTGTATGGGGGCCTGTTGAGAGGATGCCAGAGGCTGCTTGGGGCTGTGTGCAGAGCACGTCTGGGCCGTTGGTGGAGCTGTGCTGTCCTATACAGTACCTCTTCAGGTAGCTTTGTCCTGGGGGCCCTGGGGGATTTTGGTGGGAAGATGAATAGAGCCACATGGCGGACTGTGTGGGGCTAGTTAAGGCTCCAGGGGCTTCATCCCTGGGGGCTGTGCAGAACCGCAAGTGGCTGGATACAGGGTGGTGGAGGTGCTGGATGGACTCCACAGCTTTGCCATCTGAGGACAGACTGTACTTCCTTAGGGTCAGGAGCTCCCAAAGTCTAGGGATTTCTTCTCCTTATGATTGACGTGGAGGGGGAGACAGCAGGGATTCACAAGATGAGCAAAAGGAGCAATGGTGTCCCTTCCGATGTTGTCCTGCAGCTGGTCCTTACGCACGCCAGGCTGAGGACACTTTCTAACGCGTCTGCTTGTGCTTTCTCAACAGGACAATGTGGATCTTGGAGAGCTGATGTTTTCCCTCTGCTACCTTCCAACTGCTGGCAGGCTGACCATCACCATTATAAAAGCGAGGAATTTAAAGGCAATGGACATAACGGGAGCATCAGGTGGGATATTCTCAAATTCAGACTTCCTCCTGTGGCTCGAACATAGTACTTAGGAAGTCTCTAGTAGAGTAAGAAGGTGCATAAACCAAACTACCTAGGTTTAATCCCACTCCTAGACCTCATGGCTGTGTGACCTTGGGTAGGGTACTTTCCCTGTCTGAGCTTTGGATTCCCTATCTGTAAAATGAGGGTGATAAATAGTATCTGGCTCATTGGGTTGCCGTAAGATTAAATACGTTAATGCATACAAAGTCACAAGAACAGTACCTGGCACATAGGGATTGCTGCCTAATGTGAATCGTCATCATTATTCTCTCGGAGGTCTTCTTCACTATAATTGTGAATTGGACCTACAGTTTACACATGCTGACACAGCTTATCTAATTGGGTCTTTCCTCAGATATAAGTAATCATCATCTCAGTCCTATGGAAGGTTGAAAACAATCGGATATCCTCCTATAAGGCCCGTCAGTGAACTATATGCAGTTTGGTGTTTCCAGTGAATCAAGCCTGTATACTTAGAATCTAAACCATAACCAAAAAATGCCCTGATATGCAGGTCCTACTCTACACATTGCCAAGCAGCCTCTGCAGGGGCTCCCAGAATGTGGCCATAGAATACCCAGTCCACTGGCTGTTGATCACAGAAATCAAAGGACATCAGCTTCAGTATATTTTGCTTACTTACTGGCCTCCAGTATCTTTCCAAGAGAAAAAAAAGAGGTGGCCCCTTCTGGCCTCTCAGTCCCTCCTGGAGAGTGTACGGGCAGTCAGGGCAACACGTGGTTGTACAGACAAGGAGAGAAAGACAAGTCCCCACTGAGCAGAAGGATAGTGAGTAGAACCAGGAAGGTCCCACCTGAAGCAGAGACCGGACTTGCACCTATCCCCCTATGCCAGCATCATGCCACAAGCAGGCTTTGTCCTCTCCCTGACGTGCTGAAATGCTTCCCCCTTTGCAACCCAGTGGGAGGCAGCCCTGGGGCTTGAAGCCCCTGTACTCCCCAAAGCTGTCCCTGTCCTCTAAGTGTTCTGTCTCTCCCTTTCCTAAAGACCTGCTGTTTAGGAAGAGACTGTCTGGGGTGGCTCAGCATCGGGGCCCACAGCCCCGCAGTTTCTCCTGCCTCAGAAATACCTTTGCATCTCTCCCTGCTGCAGTCAGGCAAGTCTGGAATTCTAGCTGGAATGTCTTCTAATTCAGTAACAGATGTTTTCACTCTATTTTTAAATTCCACACACTTTGAGGAGACAGTGTCCTGTGCTTTTTCTTGAATGTATGTCTTAATTATCCTAACGCTAGTCGCTGCCCAGGCGTCATAGTCATTAAAATCCTCAAACTCCAGCCCATAGGCAGGTAAGGGAGGTCTACATCCCATAGTCCATGGAACTCCACCATGACAGAACTGCCCTCTACATCCCACATTTAGCCTCACAGTACCCCTGCTTCTCATGGTTGTACAGATCCCTACGTGAAAGTGTCACTGATGTGTGATGGCAGACGACTGAAGAAGAGGAAAACATCCACCAAGAGGAACACTCTGAATCCTGTTTACAACGAAGCCATAGTCTTTGACGTCCCTCCTGAGAACATTGACCAAATCCACTTGTCCATAGCCGTCATGGACTATGACCGGTGAGATACCTGGAGCTCTTTCTCAGGGCGGGTCAGCTGTGCCCAGGACAGGGAGGGAGGAGGGTGGTGAGGTCACACGTTCTTGGCTGGTGTCCCAGGCTGCAGGAAATGAGTCAAATGGGCACCCCGGGAAAGCTGACTGACAAGGAGTCTCCACTTTCCAAACCATAAAGTCGTATTACCCAACTGCCTCTTTGCGCTCCCCCTTTCATTTCTTTCTCCCTCCTCATCCTCCCCTCCTCCTCGCCTCATCCCCTTTCCATCCCTGCATACTCCCCAGAATTTCAGCTTGGAGAAACGTGGCTCTGCAGGTCTTAATCTTCTCCTGCACAATCCTGCCTGGCCTTCATGGGAAGATTCCACTCAAAATAGCAGAGTGATTACTTTAGCCATACCATCAACATTTCTAAATACATAACTCTGTTATTTTTTTCCCCTTCTTCCAGTGTGTTTAATAAAGATCATTTCCATCCACTTAAGTCTGAAAGCAAACAGAAATGTTCTCTTGAAAATGCTAGAATCAGTATGGATGACAGGGTACATTAAAATGTATAAGATGCTCTGCTTTCTAATTAATACAGCACAGAAGAGATATTTATAGCCTGCATTGTAGCCAATTGTGTATTTAAAGGACAGATTTGAAAAACAGTCATTTTAATATGCAAAGGAAGTACCAACAGGGAATTAGACATGTTAAACCAGTCATTGGACTGAAATGCAGAGTCTCTTTTTAATTGGAAACCTCCCACGTGGTCTGGGTACAAGTATAAAAAAAAGTCATTCTGACTTCTAATATAATCTTACAAATATTATTTGTAGCTGAAAATTTTCCCACATACCCCTGAAATGTCACTAAGGCAGCTTCAGCTCCCTGAACACCCTTTCTAGAAGATGCTTAGGTGAAGCATCTAGAAGCATAACTGTCTTCCAGTTCAGGGAGCACGTGGGTTGGCTCAGCTGCCTATGGGTGTGACAGCCCACATTGGGCAATAGACCTTGTCCTGTCTTCTCTGGACGGAACACAATACCAGCAGTGTCAGGTCACAGGAGGGGACATTGCCCACCAACCGTGGAAAGCTAGGCCAGCTTTTTTCAAGCGATTGCCACGTTTACCGCATCAACAAATCTGATTATATGAGCTCTGCTTCAATTCAGTTCTCAGTAAACTCATGAATCTGCCTGGAAAAATCCATGGCAGGATTCATGGGGCTTCTGCACACAACTGATTTTAATGAGCACAAACTCAAATGTCCTTCACACTCCTCCCACCCGCATGTCTCGCCCTTATTCCCTACATACAAATAGGAGAAAAGTTACTCTTCTTTGCAGGAAGGAAAATGACAGAAAGTCCATGAGCTTGGATCCCAAAGAGTTAAAGGATGGGTCCTATCATTCTAGTTATACAGGCGACTTCTAACCAAAAACTGCTAAGGGGAAAGACTGTCCTAAGGAAGGCACTTACCCAAGGAAAGTTTCGGAAATATTAGCCCCAAAGTTAAAGGATCTAAGTATCTTTCCATAGGAGGGAAATCAAGTTGGGTCAAAGAAGTAAAGGCGGGCTTGGAAGGAAGAAGGGGAGAGCATGAGAGCACATGTTCTCTGAAGAGAAGGTTTGCAAGAAGACCCAAAGTGTATCCCCACCCTGCCCCCTATGTAAACTCCAGACTATGGCTGCTCTACACAGTGCTTCTCCTTTATCTGTACTTGGTTGCATCTTACAGGAGTTTGAGCAGCCATCAATGGGAGGAACTCCTTTCAGATGGCCTCATTACATAGGTTTGAAGACCTAGAGGTCAACCTCGTTCTAGAACCAGAGTTGTCATCCCTAGCATGCATCAGGAACAAACTAAGCCATTACAGAAGCTCAGGTGTGTGACAGCAACCTTCTGCTTTTCCTCTCTGTGCCACCAAGTACTATCTTGGATCCCAAGTTCTATTGGCTGTTAAGCTTGTCCTGTAGTTTTAAATTAGGGAATGAAAAGAACCACCCTTTCCCTAATTTCTCTCAAGTGAGGAGTTGTTGCTCTTACATACCAGAATTTTAAGAAAAAGTTATTGTGGGCCATTTTCACAGTGTAGGTCATAATGAGATCATCGGCGTGTGTCAAGTGGGCAACGAAGCTGAGAGGCTGGGCAGAGACCACTGGAGTGAGATGTTGTCATATCCCCGGAAGCCCATCGCACACTGGCATTCCCTTGTGGAGGTAAGACCCTACTCCCACACGTTCCACTTGGCAGAAGAATAAGTGCTTTACTGTTGAAATGCAGGAGCCACCAAGAGTGTGAGTGTACCAAGGTCTACAGTCACCGACCGGTTTCTCTGGTTGCCTTTTCTGATTGTACAGTTTCTGGCTGGAAATTGCATTCAGTATGAGTTTGAGTCTGTGCTCCCCACCTTTCTGGTTGGTTTTGAACACTGGTCACTCATCCCTCACTTTGATTGTCTTCAAAAACAGGATTCTCAGATTCCACGTTATGGTTTGGGTTGACATTTGGAAGGTGTCTGCAGGATCCAGATGAGTGTGGAGTTTCAGGTTACCATATGGTTACTTACACATAGCATCAGAAAGAACTCAGGACTAGGAGAGAGGAGGCCTGGATTCCAGGACTGGCAGTAGCATTAATTACCAAAAAAAAAAAAAAAAAAAAAAGTCCAGAAGAAGGCAGCCTAAGGTGTTATAGTGACTCTGTGATTACAATAGAGAACTAGACTTCTGTTTTTCTGCTTCACTGTCCCAGTGTGGGGGTTTTTTGAGGTCACCTCATTGAACAAAATGGCTGCTAAGCTCCAACCATCACTTGTCTTTCAGGTCATAAAAAAGGAGAAAGAGGCAAGAGCCAAAAGCACACACATTCTCTTTTAAAGGATTTTCCTTGATGTCTCATGCAACACATCTACTTATATTTAACTTAGTCAGAGTTTAGTCACAGGGACACATGTGGGAAATGTATTCTTTTGTTGGCTGGACATATGCCCAACTAAAAACCAGGGTTTGTGTGCAGGGAAGAAGCAATGAGTGAATACTTGAATCCAGTAAGTCATCATTCTGCCTCACACCTTCATTCATTCACCTACCACCACACCCCTCCTCATTTATTTCTCATTTATGCTTCCCCCATCCATCTTTGTTCATTGACACACACTCTTATTTATGTACTCACTCATTCTTTCAAAAACAAATTGCATTTACTAGGTATCACCTGTGAGAGTCAAATGTCGTATTAGGTAAAGAAAATAAATGTGAATGAGCAGCCTTCCTGTGAAGAGCTTGTAGACCACAAGAGAGACAGAGGAAAGCATGCAAACTAACCACTAAAATGCACAGTCATGAGCTTTAACATCCATATCACACAGAGGTGGGAGGTGAGATTGTCCAGGAAAGCATTCTCCCTCCTGCTCTTGGTTAAGTGATGGGAAGTGAGCCCCTGGGAGCCTGGGTTCCAAGCAGAGAATTTTCCTCTTATTCTCCCAGCACAGGCAGCTCAGCTCCCGGCAAAGCCATGCTGAGAGGCCAAGATAAAGCCTCATCGGCGTGGGTCCCACTGCCATTGAGAGTCAGGAGAGTTGGGTCAAAGCAGACATGGAAAGCAATGGGTCTGGGGAAGAATAGACAGTCTTCCTTTGCTGGAGACGGTGCCCGAGGGAGAAGATCAGCATAGGATGTATGGACTGGTTCTAAGCTTCAGGGCCTTGGGTGTATTCAAGCAGCGCTTAGGGCCCCCTAATTTACAGGTCCCTGAGGTTAACTCTGCCCCTGAGCCAGTGAAGCCAAGACTTATTCTTTCCTGGACTCAAAATTAATCCCTGAGGGAGACCCATGGCACCCCCCCACCCCAAATCACCTGAGAAGTAACTGAAGTCAGATGCTGACCCAACTGCCCCTCACTTCTTCAGCTCCTGGGGGGAGCCCTCAAAGGAGTCCACGTATGGGCTCATTATACTGCCTAAGTCTGTCAGTAGCAGTGACCATCAGGACAGTAGTAATAGACTTTTTGCACCCTTGAGTCACCACTGACTTTAATTCTTGTTTGCAGTCTGGAGTGTCATACAGTGTCACAGAACCCTCTACTTTTCAGGGCCCAGGATGGGAAAGGAGTAAGGTTTAGGGGTGTGGTGTGGGGCTGAGACAGGAGCCCCAATTCGGTGCACAGCAGCTCCTTCTCAGTGCCCTTGCCGGGGAGCAAGGATAGGTGGTGTGTTGTGCACAGGGTCCCAAGTGGCGGTGCACACATGGTACCCAGTGGGAAGTGTGGAAAGTGTGCCTTGGAGGCTTCTTTTCACTGCTGAGGAAGCAGCACTGTCCGATGTTGCTCACTTGGGAGATAGTCCCTAAACCCTGAGTACTTGGTTTTTTGCAAATAAGGATATGATAGCATGTAACTGAGAAATCGGTGTTTTTAGGGTTAAACCACCCAAACTTGGGAGTCGTGTGTTACAGCAGCTAGAATGACTTCAGCTGGTACAACAGTGGTTTCTCAACCACTGTGGCAGAACGACATGCCTGCACACCTTCGTGAGGGGCAAGCGAGGGGGGCTGTCTCTGTCTTGCTGCTTCCTGTCTCTTTGAAGTACGTGCCCAGGACTCCATATTCATCCCAGGAGCGGAAGCGGTACTTTCCCTTTGAAGAATAAACGTGCAGCCAGCAAAACTGGGGCACTGGTACCAGAGGAGATGAAAAGCGGGATTGGAGAGGTCACTGCACTTTGCTGACAGCTGTAAGGATGGAGGGGACTGGATGCAGAACCATCGGTCAGAGCCACTCACTATGGAGTTGGATGGACCTAGATTCAGAACCCGGTGCTGCCACTCACAAGTTGTTTGTTTCACCCTTTCTGAATCTCAGTGTTCTCATCTGCAAAGTGGCCCTAACCACACCTGTCTCCCAAGGGTGGCTGTGAGGCTCAGACAGTGAGGCCACAGTGGCTGTAGACGCTCAGGGAGGCTCCCCATTATGGTCAGTACTGTGTGTGCCCCATGTCGTAAGGGGCTGCCCTGTGTCCTCATGGGACTCTCAGCCATCGTGTTTGCCCTGGAGGATAAAAGGAAGGCTGGAAATCCTACCCCTGCACCCTCAACCTGGGGGAGGGCGCTGGACATAGATGCATGAACTTCAGTTCTGATTCTTCTCCTTTCCTCTCACACTAAGAACCTTTAGATTTTCTGCATTAAAACAAAAAGCTGTGTGTGTGTGTACATAAGCATGTGTGTAAGAATGAATGAGAGAAAAGTCAGAGAGAGATTACGGGGTAGGATTTAGTATAAAGGGAGGCTGGCCTGGCAGAAGCTCTTCACTGCTGGGGGCGGAGGGACCAGGTGAAGACTGAACCCTGAGCCCTGCAGAGACTTGGCAGCCGGCTTGGGGCTGCATCCAGCACAACCCTGACCTTGCCAGGGCAGGTGGCAGATGGAGTCTTCAGAGCCAATGAGTTCAAAAATCCATTTCTCTCTCAGGGTTTCTGGATGGTTTCACTGCACACTCAAAGGTCAGCCAATACAGCTCCCTTCACTCTCCATGATGTCAAAGCCTTGGGAAGCTGTGCAGACTCCCCTAGAGCAGCTGCCAGGGACTCGGGGACAGAGTAGCCCCTCCAGGAGCCTCAGGCGGTGGCAGAGCTCTTGGAGCTCCCACCACAGCCCCCTCTCTTGAACAACCCAGAGATGGTGTCGGCCTGGCCACATGCCAGCACCTTCCCCACCCTCCTGGGAGTGGAGCTGGCCTCCATCATGCACCCTGGAGAGAATAATAAAAATAGTTCCAGGTTGTCATTGCTTCCTCCCATAGCGCCACATAACCTCTGTGTTAACAGGCAGTGAGTTGGTGTAATGGGGAAGACCAGAGGCAGACACCATTTGGTTAAATAAAATTTTACTTTTCTAAAAGAGATAGAAGAGAGAATATCAGAAGGGATAATGAAGGTCAGCAACATTATCCTGAGGGGCAGTGATATAAGATTCTAAACCCCAAAGTCCTATTCACTACATTGTGTTTAGGTGTGGATAAGTCTCCTCTCTCCAAGCTCAGCCTTTGCTATGTGTGTGTATATATAAGAAGGTTCTGCACCCGGTTGGTCTGGTGGTCCGCAGGGCCACCTCACTGAGCCCAGTGCCCCCTGCAACTCAGAGTTATGCAGTTCCCAGCATAACTGAGGGACAGCCGTGGCCCAGTATGATCCGAGTACTCATTCACCACTGTCTGGAACTTCTCGAAGGTGTAAGCTTACAGCTGTAGAACTACAGCAAGTGTCGGTTACCCAGATGCCCCTGGGAGTTACACAAGCAGGCTGTTGAAACCAGTTCTAGATAGTATCCGTTGAGTGTCCCACAGAGTCTGCCTGAAGTCTGTGAGGTACACACATTCCCGGGAAAAGACATTTAATTGCCCCGGTTGGGTTTGGTGTCCATCCATTCCCCCCCACCCCCCCCACCCTCTGATACCCTCTGATACCCACTGATACCCAGATTTAGAAGTGAGGGACTCAGAGGCTTTGGCATTTCGGGCAAATTGTTATTTACAAAAGATTGAAGAAACAAGAGTGATTCTCCAGAATGGCGGGGGGGGAGGGTTGGCTGGAAAGACTCCAGCAGGTGATCAGTTTCCCGTCAGAGGACTTTGTGTCTGTTGTGGGGCTTGAGCCCAGGTGAGGACTAGACTAGCAGAGAAGGAAACAGACTGGGTGGGGGACAGCGTGGCACGAAGGACAGGACAGGGAGAGCCCTGGAAAGTGCTGCCACACAGAAGCAGGAGGAACCTGAGGTGCCCACAGCACCCCCATTGCAGGTCTTCGGAAATACCACGCATCCAGTTCTGATAAGTAAGGGATGAACTGAGGCTGGTGATCATAGGCTTTGACCTACGAAGAGGTGGCCCAGGATTGGGGTCAGTGAACTGAGCATAAGACTGACATGTATGTCCAGGGGCAGTGATGGAGGAGATGAGGAGTATGTACCTGGAGGGCCACATGCTATCACAGTATCTTCCACATGTGGTGACACCCCCCCCCCACACACACACAGACACAAGCCAACATAAGGTCTCAGTGCCTCAGAGAACAAAGTGCTTGGCCTGGATGGGAATGGAGAGAACCAGAAGCACTTGAAGTACATTAAAATCATGTAAGAAAATGTAGATTTCTTTATTACCTAAAATGAATACCATCCTGGTAAAGAACAGGAAGGGGAAAAAATACACTTGATCTTGCTAATTAATGATTTCTGGTCTTTTCTAGGTTATCTCGGTCTCTCTGGGATAAATATTTAGTCAAATGTCATGTTTAAATTTCCTACCAAAGCTATTTCCCTTCTTTCTAGGAGCCTCCTTTCCTTCCTTCTTCCCAAGGTGCCACTCACATGTAGGAAGCCCAAAGGCCTTGTGGCAGGGGTGGACCACGTGCTTTCATCTGCCAGAGAACATTGCCCTTCTGGTCTTTGGCCATCAGATGCCACTGTCTTTGCCTGTGCTGAGGATCTCTGCTGATGTAACTTGCTGCCTGTCCTCGAAGAACAAGCCAGGCCTGATTACTCCGTGGCGGCTTGGCCCTTTCGAGGCGGGCCAAACCCGAATGTGGCTTTTGCCCTAAGGATCTCTGAGGTCTGGCAGCATCTCTCACTTGATGCCTGGCCTAGGAGATCTTTACACCCCTTGGTATGGGGTCACTTCCCCACTTGCTGGAACCCCCTGGTTCTTCCTTTTCACACTCTCCAAACATTAGAGACACATGGGAGCTTCAGGAGACTTGATGACATCACAGGTGCCCTCTGCATGCCCATTGAGTTACATGGCCATTTTTTTTTTTTAAGATTTTTTTTAAGTAGGTTCCATGCCCAACATGGGGCTCAAACTCACAACCTCAGGATCAAGAGTCACACTCTCTACCCACTGAGCCAGCTAGCTGCCCCCATGTGGCCATTTCTACATTGTCCCTCTGGCCTCATGTCGGCAGAGTGGCCATATCTACCTTCAGGATTTCAGACCCGAGGATGAAATCAGGACCTCACAGTAGAGCCTCTCTTCCCCTCTCCCTATCTCTTCTGCCAAAGCTCTCTACTTCCTCCTTCCACCTTGACTACTGTGAGTTTACTCCTTGGCCAGTTACAGGTAGAGACCACACCAGGGGGAGTTGTCACAGAAAGGAAACTTCATTTACAGCCAGTGAAGAGATCACAGGGAATAACTTCCAATGTGGTGACCCTGCCCCCACCCCAAGCAAGGGTGAGCGCATCCTTTTTATTTAGAGTTTAGGATGAATATTCAGAAAGGGGAGCTTTGTCAACCACTTGCAAAGGCAGGCCACAAGGTTGTCCAGGTGTCCTTAGAAAACATGCCTATATGTTCATCCTATGTCATATTAATGAAGCTTGTGCTCCTTTTAGGGCTGATACTATGACATTATAATGAAGCAGAGGTAACTGTCGGACATGGGCATGCTCTGAGAACGGGTATAAACTGACTGGGGTTTAGGGCTCCTTCTCTTGGGTAAGGAGGGTGGGAACTTGCTTACTTTTGAACCAACACTGAGAGTTTTACCACTGGCTGTCTCTGATACCGTCAGGCTATTTCCAGGCCTGGTGGAGACTAGGCCAGGAGACTAGACTCTTTCTTCCCTTAAAATCTTTAACTACCGAGGTTTTTGGATTTCTTTGTAATTCTGACATCTCTTAGGGTATTCTGCTAGAAGTGTGCTCCCACAAGTAGAGCCTCGTAGGGCACAGATGAGGGAAACCAGCTGGGGACCTAGAATGACTTCTTTTAGGTCACTAAAGCTATATCTCGTCTTTCTTTTGGGGGAGACCCATAACTCTTTGTTACACTTCCTTTACATCTTACATGACTCCTCTCTACTTCTGCCTTATCTTCAGATCCCTAGGGTTTCCTCTCAACATGCAAAGGGAACATTTGTAATTTAAATATATCTCTTCCCTGAACAAGTCCTGGTTTTCCAGACTTTCATTTCATGAGGGACTGGCTGATAACTGACCTTGTGTTATTTGCCCTTGGCTTATAGGAATCTATGGCATGGATTCATTGCATGGAACAACATGATTTGCAAAGAATGGATATACTACCCCTCTTGTAAGAGGGTATTGTAGGTATTGAATTAGTATTGATGAATGAATGAGTGAATGAGACATATAGTAAAAGCATTTGGGTTCCTTTAGTTCTAAAGTTCCACAGTTTTCCATTCGACAGAGTCCAAAGTAGAAGTCAGTTCAAGGCAAGATGTAAAAGGTCCTGACACGGAACTTGCAGTGGGCTGTTCAAATGGAGATGGCCCTAATTTATTTAGCTCTACATTTTGATTAACTTTTTTCCATTAAGGAGGAGGAGATGAGAAGAGGTCATTTCCTCCCTTTGTTCCCATTGTTTAAAAACAAATTCAACTGAGTAAATTTAAAGATCTTATTTGCTTTATCCAGTGATTCATGAATTGGACAGTCTCCCATCTGGCAGATAGAAAGGAGCTCTGAAGAGCTGTATAAAATGTAAAAATGAAAGCCTTCTGTATGCAGAAGGAGGGTAATGAAGCAAGGAAGTTACTCTAACAAAGAGTGGATTGTTTCAGGTAAGATAACCTTCCTCTGGGAGAAAATGGGGGCCAGACAGAATACCTCACTAGTGCTGCTGACCAGAGAA